CAAGTAGCCTTTGTTACTGTGTAATCCCCGAAGCAGGCAGAATGGCATGTCCCAGTCCGCCTGCCGGTTGGGGTGGGTTGGCATGGGGCTTCTAGACGACTGCAGCTCTGGGACACTCGGTTCCGGATGCCGAGCTCGTTCACCGAGACCCATTCACCGGCCGAGCTCAAGCTACATGGGCAAGGAATGCAGACAGGGCTCGGAGCGCGAGCTTGGGGATCCCTGGTCTGCCCTCCAAGGCCCCTCTGGTTCTGGTCTTAGCTGCCTCTCATTCTTGGATACTCAAAGCCTATCCCTTAGAATTAGAAATGTGGGGATTCCAGATTGCAGGCCCCTTCCCAGACATCCGGGCCCAGAACCTTCATTTAACAAGAGACCAAAGCGGCGTGTGTCATTGCCGGGAGGCAGTCTCTATCTGCAGCTGGAACGATTTCGGGAACGTACATTGCCTAGTCACTGCTGTTTCCGCATGCCCGCCCGGGCCCTCTGCTGTCAGGCCCCACGCCAGCCTCCCTTCCTGCATCTGTCCTCACAGCTCTCTGCTCTCAGTGGCGAAGACTGAGTTCAAGCCCTGGCTCTGCCCCTTGCTAGTCCACACACCTCAGTCTACTTGTCTGTAAAATGGAGACACCACCAATGAGTGCACGGGTTTGTTGGAAGAATCAAAGTGATGGGGCTGGCAGGTGGTGTGGTGGTTAGGGGCACTGGACTCTCACGTGGCTGACCACGGTTTGAGTCCTGGACCTGGCAGCTTGCTTATTCTCTCTCTCTGTGTATGTCTCAAATTGAAAATAATTATAATGATAAATAAAATGAAGGAAATAAGTTTTTTAAAAATTAAAAAAATCAAATAACGGAGCATGTGCTGGGACGCTTGTTCGACCTTGTTTCCTTCTCTGCCTCCACTCTCACGCCTTCTGTTGACTGTGGACATCTTTGTGAATTTCTGGGTTTAGGAATCCAATAGCAAAACCGATGGCCTTTGGAGGACACCAGGGAGATGGTGGTTAGGAAGAGCATTGCCATGCAGCCAGCCAGGCCAGAGTCACACCGCAGCCTCCGCAGGAGCTGCCACGTCTCTCTCTTAGCCTATTCATTCTTCTGGAAAACGGGGAGACTGGCCAGCAGAAGAGAGGGGAATGGATGTGAAGTGCCTGGCACACACCAGCACTGCATTAGTGACAGACTTCACTATTGTTTTTATGATTATTGCTGTTTTTACTCATCCCCAGTGGCACAGAGGAGTGGCCAGGGGAGAGTGGAAAGTGTTATGCAAATATGAATAGATATTTGCATCTATAGTTAATTTGCATCTATAATGCTAACACTCTCTT